TTATACTTTAACTTCTGCTAACTTGACATTTTTGTTATGCCATTTTTCTACGTTTGGATGAAAGCAAGAAATTTTGATAGAATTTATTAAGAAATATTTATATACATTTAAAAAAAAAAACTTATTTAAGTTTCAAATAATATTTAAGAAATACATTTGGAATTTTATCAAAATTAATAAAATTTAAAATCGAAGTTTCTTAATTCTAGTTAGAATTTTTTTATTGATATTTTTTAATCATTTTTTAATAGCTTATCTATTCCACCTAATTAAATTAAGGTTATGTTGTGATAGATGTGAACTACAACATATTTAGGTAGAGAGTTAATAAGTTTGAGTTTAGTTCAAACAAATTTGAATTTCTAACGGGTTAAATTCGTTTGGACCTATTAAAAAGTTGGTCTAAACAAGTTAAACCCGCTTAACCTGTTTATACTCGTTAAATCTAGTTGACTAAATATGTTAATATCCTATTAATACATCAGACATTATAATAATATTTATATATATATATAAATATAATATAATTATGTCACATGTACTATAATAAATATAAACTTTAATATTAGAAAAGTCAATTCTGATTTCTTGTTAACTCATTTAACATGTTATAATAAACAGATTGAGCAGATTTAAAAATATTGATATGTTCATAAATAAGTTGTGTAGCAAATAGAGATCATGACTTATTTATTAAACAAATTATGCATGAGTCGGAGTTGATGTACCGGCACTATATGTTTACATATGACCTGTATGTTTTACTATCCCATAATTTTTAATTTATATAATCATAAGCTAAGTTCCTTTTGTCGTTCTTTCATCATTTCTTACCAGCATACATAATATGCAGAAAGATTAAGTTGTGTGTTGGGAACTCATGGTCTAAACTGATGTCTAGAACTTGCATGTAATTCGATGGAGTAGTGCTCTTCTTTCTTCTTAAGTATGTGAATGTTGCAGGCTCGGTAGATGACCAAGTTGGAGTTGCTGACAAAGTGAATTTATTCCTCAACACTCCACTATAAAAGGTGGGAAAATACCGAAAAGAAGAATTACATAGTCACTTATAAGATTCTTTCTCTAGGAATTCTTACAAGCGATAAAATAAAGACTTTCACATAGTTTACATTTAATTCAAAGATCAACCTCACGATTCGATGTTGTTATTCTTTGCCAACAATGGGTTGGCGTATCTTCTAGGAACCTTACAATTGATTTGCTATATGATTTTTTTTTGAACACATATTATTCTTGAGTCATGTTTTCTCTTCGAAATTATTCAAGTGATTAGCTTTTTTCATTTTGACTTTTGTCCAATTCCATTGCCTCTGCGTTATGTGAGTTTTGAGAAATACATATTTATATGAAACTAACTTTAAAATAAAAATTGTTATTCAAACTTTTTTCTTATCTATATATAATACATTTTTATTGATTTTTTTTTTTTATAAAAAATAGTACTCTAATCAAATTTTACGAAACACAATTATAAAAATAACAATTAAAATTAAAATATTTTTAATTATTATAAAAAAAATTTAACTCATACGTTTATTACAATTTCATGTTTGTATAAATACATAACTAAATTAATATCTGAAATAATTAAATTCACTTCTTTCTCCGTAATTAAAAAAAAAAAAAGAAATAAGAACAAATTACCTGGATATGTCGCTCCAACAGCCAGGTCCATCTGTAGCTGAGAGACTCTTCCACCCAACTAAGAGCCAACCAAAATCCACCACCCTCAAGCCCTAGTCAGCTCTCAGGCTCTTCAACAGGTGGCACGCAGGCTCAATCCACCCAATCCTCCACCTCTATCGGTTTCCGCCAAATTACCAAAATACCCCTATTCACGATTCCCCATACAACCCTATCAAATGCAAAATGCGCTGTACAAACGGCCGTGTTGCTCCACGTCAGTTTTTCTGCTACATTTTTTGCCGTCTTCTCTAGTTATTACTGCCCCAAAAGCTCTCTCAGATCCTCTCTCCATTACGAGAAAGCGTCGTCGTAACCGTATTTTGAGTGGAAGAATCGGATTGAGTTCGGATTGTAGAATCAGGGCAATGCCTTGTTCCTCAATCGAGACTAATACATCTATCTGTGGTGGTGGTGGTGGAGGAGGAGGAGATAATGATTCTCTTCTTAATTTCAAACTGAATCAGTCAACCTTCCTCGCCTCTCTGATGCCGAAGAGAGAGATTGGTGCCGATCGCTTCATCGAAGCTCACCCTCACTACGATGGCCGCAGTGCTCTTATCGCTATCTTTGGTAGTGTAAAACCTTACTGGTTTTTGTTTATTCTGTGTTTTTGTTTTGAGCTTTTTGTTAGACTACTGTTGAATTTCAACGGAGGGAATCTCGTGCTTTGGTTTATTGCTTACTAGAAGTTCTGGTCAAACATGGCTTAGGAGGACAGTACTTGAGTAAATGCAACAGATACAAAAAACATAGAAACATAGCGCGTGAAGAAGTTATATGTTGAATTTCCTGTTTGTTAACTGTAGTTGATTGTTTGAATGCTAAAGATTACTTGAAGTCGCTGTGTTCTGCTTTTTTCTGAGACTTTTGCTTTGGTGTAATGGATACTTTTGCTTAGTTATGTGTAAAAACTATATTGATGTAGGATAAAGTTAGCTTTAGTTTATCTATTTGGGAAATTGGGAATAAAAATTGAGATATCATACTAAGAATTTCTTAATGTTCTATCTACAGAGTCTTAGGCATCACACTTGAGGGATTAATTGTATCATACAATTAGAAAATTGAAAAATCTCAAAGTATGTTATTAAGTAACTATAGTCTATCCCAAAAAGTGAATTCATAAATACATCTACAATGCTTAGTATATTTTCTTTTTTAATAAAATTTACTACTAAAGTATTTTATTAACTATAGTCTATCGCAAAAAGTGAATTTATAAATATATCTACAATGATTAGTACTTTTAAAAAAATAAAATAAAATTAGACTACTAACGTATTTTATTAAGTAACTATAGTCTATCCCAAAAAGTGAATTTATATATCTACAATGCTCGTACTACTAATACAAATAGGAAAACTAAATATTAATATAAAGAAAACCATAAATTACTAAAAACTATAGTAATAGGCATCTAAATCTTGCATTTAACAGAATTGCAGTTTTTAATCAACTCGCAATTTAGACTTGAGCACCCCTAGTTAGGATAACTTATCCAGGAGTTTTGAAGTAGTGAAATAGTGTAAAAGATTGATTTTGGAGTTTCTTCGTGAAACTTCTATGAAATTTGTACTTGATTACTTTCTTTAATGCTAAAAGTAATTGAAAATTTTAATTGTTTAAAAGTGTAAAATCCTAGCAGGATCAACATATTGATAAATTTGTGCTTTATCTTCATCCTTGTATTAAACATCATTAGATTCCAATTATTCGCTTAAGTTCCTTTTTGCACTGAACTTCTATATAATTCTTTTTTGAATATAACTTCCATATAATTCTTAGCAGCGGAAGGTCTTAAGTAGCCTTAGAATCTTTATTCCTAGGAACACATTATAGTTTTTGTTTCTCAACTTCAACGATCTCTTTTTTTCTTTATCATTTTCATTGACTATAAGTACTATTGGACGTTTATATTTACTCATATTTTTTGTAGTTTTAGGTTTTAAAACTACATCCTTTTTATGAAACATAAAATGATATGTATTAATCTCATAG